GTTGTATGTGTGACAGTCGTATCCCGCCACCTCCCCAAGATGAACATTCTCATCGCAGGTGATGCGACAATTTGAGGGACGGGGGGGGGGAGCTGGGTGATTGGGGCAAATTGGGTTTCGCAAACATCAAGGAGTGATTTGATTTTCGTTCTTGCGTTTTGATTGAACCTTTGCCGCAACGGAGTTGAATTCTCAGCTTGCGAGTTTTATTGTGGAGACAGATTTTATGTTTTTGATTTTCATGAAAACTCGTTGCATGTGATTTGTTATATGACCCATGTTGCATGCCAAGTTTTGATGGCTCAGCAGCGTCTGAGCGTTGTTTTGCACATGCATGTCAACATTCAGGCGTGAGCGCCAGCTGTGTCTGGAACATCAATTTTTCACCCGCCCGCCCTCCCTCATGTGCTATGGCATCTTAAGGGGGCTCACTTTGGGCCGGGGGTTTTTAGGGTAAAACGAGCACTTACAGATTTACTGTCCGATTTGACATCCGTGGGGGATGTGACTGGGCCGTGAGCCACGTGTACACATCGCGTGTCCTGTGCGATGCCCTTATTGTGTGAACCTGCGCGTTGACTTCGTTTTGAACCTGTGTGCTCAGCTGAACACGTCCGAGACTGACCCCAGCAAGCCTATGGCCCCTGCTTGGAAAAAGAGAGTTGCAATGTGTCCTCATTTGCATCAGTGATTGCCATTCAAGATTTGGTATAACGGATATTTGATGGATGAACATAATTTGCATAAAGTTGTGATTGGAAGATAACTGTGGATTTCAGATGTGATATTTGGAAATCCAGTCCTTTCATACATACATGGTTGTATGTGTGACAGTCGTATCCCCCCATCCCCAAGATAGCCATTTTGGCTTCAGTATCTCTTCACTGGAAATATAGTTTGCGTTCTTTTTTTCGTCGTCCTTGATTACATGCAAGTTCGTTGGGCTTCGGAGAATTTCTGGTGTATTCACAGCCTTTCAGCCTTTTGCACGTGATGGCCAGCAGAATTTTCCCACCCCAGGTTGATATTTTGCCGATACTGTGGATAGGTTGCGTGATGGGTGATGCAGAGTTTGCCCGTTCCAGTAAAAAAACGCGGTCCGCGTGTGCCAGCTGTGCCGTTCACATTTGCCCAGTCTAGTTTTCAAACATGCAAGTTTTTGTCAGTTGCGAACTTTAATGAATTTGCAGTTTTTCTGAATTCCCTTGTTTTCATTTTTGCATGTGTTTGGAAATGAATAGTAAGGGTGTACGAATTGATTCATTCCATGGTTCAAGTCAAGTGGACGTTGGCAAAAGTGCGAAGCTTGAATGCCATTCTGCATACTCATGTGGTATGAGGCTTGAAAGGTGCGCAAGGTCGGCAACAGCATGGTGATAAATTGCAAGCAAATAGGCCAATCTCACACTTTCCGTCCTCGATAAAATCATGTTTGAACCATGGGATGAGAAACGTGCGGAGGACGACCATGATATGTTTGTGGAGGGCGTTTGATTTGAAACAGAAGCTCCATGACAATGCGTTGGACACATGTTGTGCCGACAGAAGAAAGACATGACAGCAATAGCAATGTGTGCCTTCCTTTTCACATGTTAGCAGGACTTATTTTCACATTTGGACCAACACGGTCGCGGTTATCTTGGAGCAGGACAAGCGCCTTGGCCTCGTATTGCACCCACACATAGCACAAACTCGGAAGAATGAGAGTAGACCCTCATATCGTTCCTTCAGTTGAGAAAGTTGGATGCGGTGTCGTAGGTGTTGCGTGTTCTGCGCTCTGACCTCTTCGCGGAGTGTGTGGAGCTTACACGATCGGGCGGCAATGTTTAGTGCGACCATCGTGCGATTGCAATACTTGGGCAGCCAGGCGGTTCGTGTTGCTTTACATTGTTGACATCAGCAAGTGGCGTTGACAGAGTGATTTTTCCCCCAATATATGGTGAATATTCTCCATTCTGGCAACGTAATATGTTCCTGGGAAATATGTCACTTTGTCGGTGGGGTTAGTGAGAGGGGGTTCATGCCCCGCATGCGTGTCTTGCTTGCAACTCTCTACTGAGATGTGCAGGTGTGCCATGAGAGACATTTCAGCAATATGCAACACCATGAAGAGCGGTGAATAACGAGTTGTTTACAGCAATCGTTCCAAGCGGAAAATCCAACAAAAGACTGTACGTTGCACAGCGTCCTTGTGCTAAGATGCTGGACAAGGTGCTGCAACAGCTATCAAGTTAGGGACAAAACTGTTCCTAATTCAAATCCTCCAACTTTGTTTGGTTATTTCATTCATGTTGAACTTTAGCCTGAAAACATTATCTGTGAATGTTGGCCTTCAGCTTTGTTCCTCTGCTCGCTGATCATAAAATGCTGCGCCGTCTGGAGTTTCAAAGGTTTTCATGGCAAACAGATATTGCATGCTGTACCATAGTCTCACAATACAGGCAAGTGCCAGATGCTGCTAGATACTGCAACAATCCAGCTTCAGCTTAAGCCACCTTGTTCAGCAAGGATGCATCCCACTCTTGCAGGTTTCAGTGGATATGCAACAGCAGCCTACTTGTATGTGGTGCCCAATCTAAGCACATCGATTTAGATTTGCTGAGCGGCTGAGCGCATCGCCTGGCAGAAGCGGCTGTTCAGCAAGGATGCCTCTTCGCTGCAACGCAGCCTCTGGTTGATGTGTTTTTAGAATATCAGGTTGCGTTCTTACTAGCAAAGTTGCTTGAGAAGAACATGCACTGACTCGATGCCATGTCGCTGAAAATTTGCATTTAAGATTTCCGAAATCTCAGCTCATGTCTATTTGATTGATGATTTGATTGACCCGTCGGATGTCCAGGACTTGTTGGGGTTTTATCCGTGTAGCATTACACAAGACAAATGAAGCCTTGGAAGGCAGTAACTCGGTGTTTGTTATTTTTCTCATGCCTGGCATGCTGTGTACCATCACAGTACTGCAACATGCCAGCCAACCGAATCTGCTTGCCAGCAATTGGTTTTCCGCATTAACCCACAGCCATCGGTTCTAATACTGATATGGTTCCCTCGGCTCTACACTGCTGGGCAGGAATTGAAGGGCCAACTCTTTCATCATGGTCCGCACTGTTCAGCAGTAGCATGATCCAGAATAATGGTGGCGGTGCTGTCTGCAGACGTCTCTCGCCAGCTTCTTCCTCTTTTGGACGCTGTGGATGTCTCCTTGCTGTGTGCAGCGTGCAGGACGCAGCAAGAGCAGCTCAAGTTTTTGGAGACGCTTGCAGTGAAGTTCAGGCGGGATCTTCCTGTGGAAGAGGCCGTGGTCACCTCTCTCCAGCAGACCTTGGGACGGTTGCTGAGTTTGCGGAGCTTTTCGCTTTGTCTGGCTTACCAAACAAGCCTCCAAGACAGCATTTGTCGGCTTGCCGATAGTCTGAGCAAACATCAGTTGATCAATCTCACCCTTGACTTGCGGCGCTGCGGGATCGGTGATGTTGGTGTGCAAGCCTGTGCAAAAACCTTGTCTGTGCTGAGACTGCAGCATCTAGACCTTGGACTCAGTTTCAACAAGATCTCGAGCAGGGGCGCAGATGACTTGTCCCAATCTCTGGGATCTTCTTTGGCTGATGTTTTCTTACACCTGGACATAAACTTCATTGGCCACAGTGCCGCAAAGCTGCTTTCTGCTGTCTTGAATGCCGGGCAAGCTCACATTGACTTGGCGCATTGTGGGCTCGATGATGCAGTTGCCCTGGATCTGGCAAACACACTGGAGTCGCATGCGTCGCTTTCTGGAAGAGCTCAGAGGATTCATCTTGATCTCCGAGGTAACGTGCTGGCAAAGGCCAAAGCTCACGTCATGAAAGCTGCAGGGTGCCTGACTGCTACAGGCCGCAGGTGCATCATTCAATTTGACTGAATTGAGAAGAGTGCGCTGTTCCAGAGACGAGTTCTAAAAGAATCCAAAGGATTTGTGATGTGTGACGCCTTGGGTGGCAGCATTCTTGGCCATGTGAAGCACGGCCTAGGAGTGCGGAGGATAACCCGAACCCAGTCGTGTACGGCAGTGGCCAGGCAATTCAGTTCCGATCTTTGCAGGACCCCGAAAGCCTGAAAGCCAGTCAACAGACCCAGCACCGCAGATGCAGGAGCTTTTGGAGATAACAGACCTGCAGGATGAACTCACTCCGCAGGATCCAGACCTGGCCACCGCTGTAATCACATGTTTGGATTGTTGAGAAGAGCTCTAAAATGTGTAGCGCGATGATCTCTGGTGTACTTGGCAGGAGATATTCGAGAGCTTGCGGCACCTGACAGACCCTGAACACCCAAATCTGTCTCTCGAGCAGTTGAAGCTACTTGAACGCACAATAGACAGTCGGTGCTTATGGGAAAAGCTTGCTCATACTCTCTAAATCTCTAAATTCAATGGCTTTCATTGTCATGGAAGAACTGCTGGAGCGACTATTGACCTGCTGCATTTTGCTGATGCCTGGCGTCGTGATGCTGCACTTATGGTTTTGCGGTTCCTTGGATTGGTGGGCATAAGGAAATGCTGACGTGTGATTGATGCTACTACTGCTTCTGCTGCTGACGCTGCCTCTCCTGCTGTTTTTTATTTATGATTATGCTGCCGATGATGATGCTGCCGATGATGATGCTGGTGGTGATGATAACACTGGTGATGATGATGATGATGATGATGATGATGATGATGATGATGATGATGCCCTTTGAAGACTTCATTTGGACCACGTAAAGCGGCCTGATGGCCGTGACGACGCGAGAGGGAGAGAGAGAGAGAGAGAGAGAGATGATGATGATGATGATGATGATGATGATGATGATGATTATGATGATGTTATGGTTGTCATTGAGACAGTCATTGTGATGGCCTTGGCACCAAGCGTGCTTGCTTGTGTCTTGAACCTGAAGAGAGTTTCCTGAAGCGAAGTGAGCTGAAGCCCTCGTGGAGAGCTATCGACCTCTCATATGCTAAATACGAAATGCATGGGATGCAAAGATCTTAAAGAAGCCTTGAACTCATACCCTGAAAGTTGTTCCAAAATCCGTAAAGCACGCCGACTATCCCATATCCTCAATGACCAAACCCAGAATTTTACAAGCTGGTTTCTGATTTCAAGTCCGGCTGCAGGGGGTCATAACCCCGATGCGTGCAGAGGAATTCGGGCTAACATGTTTAATCTATGGCCCTGGAAGAAGCACGGCTGAGAAGCCGTGAGCATCAGTGCAAGACAATTTGGAAGCTAGCAGCACAGCCTCCAATCTTGAACTCCTTAGCCTGAGCCGAAGGTATTGCGAAGCCAGCTTGGAAGCGTAAAAACTGAAAACAGCAAGGGCACCGCATTTTCAGTCAAACTGCCTTAGACCATAGGAAGCCCCAACCCTTAAAGAAAAGGAGAGCCTAAGTTTTAGCACCATCGCAACTTCCTGAACACGCAAGACAACCAATCTTCAACTTAGCACATCAGCCATCACCTTGAGAAGCGCAAGTTTGAACCCCCTGTGCTCCCCTGCAATCTCCCTGACCAAGAAACAGACCGAAGCCCCCGCTCACAGATGACAGATGCAACGAAAAAGTCCAAGGATACATGACATTACACATTCTTGCAACGTGCTATACCAGTCGTGTATTAGCATGGTTTATACAAGTCTCACAATTTGCAGACCCGGCTCGCCAACGCGAGATACACCTTTGAACAGACGGCCTGCAGCCTGAGGGTGGTTGAGTCCGGCCATGTCTGGGTCGATGACAAAACCAACACAGTCTTCGAGTCTTGGTCGCAGCGCCAGCTACCTTCTGCTACATTGTGGCTTCTGTGCCTACAAGCTGTCGCCTTTGCAGGTGCGCTTCACTCCAACTGTTCCGACTTGCAGCGTTGCAACTCTGATTGGCTTGACCATCAAGGTTGCCTGAGCGAAGTGTGCACACATTACTATTTTGTAACTGTTGCTGATTTACGCGCTTATTGCCTTACACGGGCTGTTTGGTATCGCCTGGAGGTCAGAAGCATATCTAGTATGGAGCCCTCCGTGTTCTGGACAGGCCAAGCTGTTGCGCTCGCTTCCTCGTCGATCCTTGGACTGTTTACAGTATTGCGAAGCTTCAAGTTATGTACGAGGCAGTTCTGACTTGTTGCACACAGTGGTGAGTTGCTAAGGCTACAAGATTGATGTAGAAATCACACCTGGAACTCACAATTCTGAAGATCAGGCAGGGTCTGCAAGAGCACAAACTGAGCCCATTTTAGTACAAAAGTGTCCCTCACTCATGCAGGTCAACAAGCAGCATCTGGATGGCATCAAGTTTGTGGTGCAGACGTGTGAACCGAACCGTCATCATAGACTAGAGCAAACTAATCGCCGTCGGAGTATGATGATTTACTTGAGTGCAGCTGTATCTGGGAAGGTTTGCTGAGGTTGACATTAAGCATGTAATATGTATGGTCGAAAGCTTTGCTTCACGGGACGAGTGGCACGCTCCGGTTTCCAAACAACACAGTTTTCGCAGCGGTCTCGACAGCCCCACCGAACGAACACTTAACGGACTTAACGCAATGTTGTGTGAGCGATTTAGCTTTGCGCAACAGCCAAGGCTTGCAGACAAAGAAAGAGTTGCGGCTGCCCTGGAAAACCCGGCTCTTCGCAATCTTATCAACAATGGGATTGCCTGATGCTCAGGTTCTGGCTATATTGGCATCAAGGGTTATAGTGTATGGCAAACCATGTGCAGCACACGGTTCAGATTGTCTTAGGCCGGCACAGACAAGCCTGACATCAAGCTGCTACTGGCTTGACAGCTTGATGGTGAGAGCGCACCCTTTTGGACTGCGTTGTGCACCTCGAAAAGGCGCATAGCCGCAGCTCTTTCATACCCAGATTTCTTGGCTTTTGCCTCGAGCGGCCATCGGCAAAAGCAAGCGTCAATCTGCCGACAGTATCAGACTTCCAAGAGGCGCTGCTATGCATTTCTGCTGCAGTGACCTGCTGAAGAACACAGGTCCTGATGATGCTCGGGCAGTTGCAATCGCCTCGGACTGAACCTCGGCATGTACAACTTGTCACATGCCGACACATGTTGTCAAACATGTTCTGTGGAGCTCTACGGTGGGCCCGTGGGCCTGCTGTGCTCCTAGAGCTGCCCCCACTTGACAGTGTCAAGTCCCATCCCACTCACCAACGCAACAGATCGCAACAGCACATGTCCAGGACCAGGAATCGCAAGAAGCAACAGCTGGTACTCCACACTTAATTCAGACACGCAGATGAGCATCGAGTCTCTCGCATGCAGCAGTGATGACATGGCCTAATCTGGAAACCCTAGTGAGCCTTTACCACAGTCTCAAACCCACGGAAAGCTGGCACATGGTGCCATGGTGATCACACGTTTCGCCTTTCAAGTTTTGGGTTGCCCGCTCGAGGTGAGAGCTCCGGGAGGACGACTCAGGAAAGAGGCTGATTGACACAGCCTGCGTCTCAGCGAAGTCTTCTTTTTTGTCAGCGAGAGGCGTTTGTGGCTGCCCTCCTTGCCGCCAAATCTAGTCCGCTGAGAGCCAAGTAGCAGAGAATGGTGTTTGCAGTCAAAATGGAATGCTGCTGCATCGGCACTTGCTTTTGCGCTGGATCAGGTGTAGGGCCGTTGCAGCGGAGGCTGCATCTGTACTGAGTGTTTCATGTATGCAACCTGCATGCACAAATGTGGGTAATGTGGCACGAGGATGTTCCTACGCGTATGCTACAGTCGCCTACGGTACAGGTGCGGTTGTTGGAAGCTGAGATTGGAGATCCGAAAGTCTCTCTGCACCTCACTGCGATTTAAAGAGTGGAGTGTGAGGTGTGACCTGCTTGGTTCACGCAAGCAGACAAGTTTCAAAGGTGTCACCACAGGCTTGCATTAAAGACACTTTCAATTGGCTTCAGCTTGGAAGGGGTAAGTAAGACCTGCTGCTTTCATGTTGTTCTGTTGCAGGCAGACCTACAATCGCCGCCCGCTACCGGCAGCCCAAGGCTTGCAATTCTTGGTACTCGAAGCAGTCGGTATGGTTGTCAGCAACGGAATATTGTGCTTTGGGAGGTGGAGGAGTCTCCCAAATCCGGAGTTGCCTTGGAGGTGCTGAGGGAATGGAAACAGACTCAAGATACCGACATTGTCTCCTTCGCTCCTTTGCACTTCTCGCCATCTCCTGGGCTGTGCCAGTTCCTTTTTGGCACATGCTTTTACATGATGCCCTCGACAATACTCGACAAGTAGTCTTGCACGATAATCGAGTCCGCCCTTTCCAAGGCTTGTCCTAATTTTTTACAGTCCAGCTTTGGCAGCATGCATCATATTGAACCCTGGGCAGATAGCGGACGACGAAGGCCATGTTTTCCAAGGGACCTTCAGAATTGTCTCCAAGTCATTTCTAGAATTTCTGGCAAAGTGTCTTGTTTGTCTCGTAAGTCCAGTGGGCGGCAGCATGGGATTTCTAGTGGCCCTTTCACATGTTCGGTTTTGGGGTCCTGGAAGGGATGGGCAGCGCATGGGAACCTGTTGCTTCACGCCTGAAACTGGCCCACATAAGATGTTTCTGCAGGAAGATTCTTGCAGGGAAGTCTCCAAGAGGTAAAATTAGTGCTACCAGACAAGAGCCACGAGAGGAGATGAAGTTAGCCAGATTCGCTTTGTGTGGCAGGCATGGGTGTCACAACGCTTTTCGGAGCAGCTGCGATCTGCAACTGCCTTAGCTGGCTCAGTAGTCTTCACTTTTTGAGCGTGTGGCAAACTTGGCAGCGCGAAGTCAAGAAGCCAGAAAGTCTCTGTTGTAAGCTTGAAGTTGGCAAAATCAATTAGGTAATGCCCTGTATGATTTGATGCATCATGTTGGTGGCTTTCCTGCATCATTGCAAATGAATTGCTTGCGATGATGAACAGCAGTGTTCCTGCTGTTCATCACTAGCGCAGTGAATCTACAAAGTTGGGCTCCTCAGCGGTTGTCTTTGCGTGCTGAAGTGTTCACTGCGTCCAAGTGCGCGGCTAGTATGCGCGTTTTCCGAAATGGGGCCGGGACTTATGTTAATTATTTCGGGCCTGGCAGCACAGGCCGGCCTGGCCTCCACCCTTCCAAAACCCAAAACAGAATCAACAATCATGAAAAGCCTCTGTGATCCTCTGTGAAAGAGATGTTCTCACCACTTTGGATATGACTTAGCATTCCTGACAGGCTGTCCACTTGCGAGACCTTCATCCTGTGCAAGTTCGGGCATCTGTGTCTCTGGCAAAATTTACTTCTCAAGTTGTTTAGGATGGAGGTAGGCGACACCTGCTATGTTGTATGTCATGGCGACAACGCCGATGTGCCTGTAGCTGGATGACTAGTTCATATTGCTGACGGGGAGGGCTGCGTAGCTACCACCTTAGCCTCCTTGGAGGGAATATCGAGGAAGTCTAGTCATAAAGTTTCTGGTACCGACATTGGAGTGATCAAAGTGAACCTGGCAGCAGTGCAACAAGAGAGACCATCAGACTGGCAGGGATTACGCCTCAAGAGTTCGCCTCCTTGGACAGCATGCAAAAAAGCCCGGGTCCAGTTAGCGGGACGCGACTTGGAAAGCAGCGAGGCAAATGCTCCGCGGAAGGCCGCACCGGCCAAGACACGGATCGAGGCCGACCTAGCTGGTTTGACTTCCCTTTTCGGCAAGCCCCAGCGGAAGTCGAGGACCGACGAGGAGGACAGCGACAGCGACGAGGAAGAGAACGAGTCCGAAGAAAAGGCCTTCCTGAAGCCTGGGGCGACAGCAAAGGGTTCCCGTCAAAGGAGCTCTCGGGCCCCCAAGCATCAGGATCTCGATTTAAAAGCGGAGGTGATCAAGGCCCTAGCTGGAGGTCAGAGCGCCAACGAGTTGATGCCTTTGATGATGATGGCTATGCTGGCCGACAACAAGAGCAAGAAGAGCAAGCGGCGAAAGGAGCGGGAAACCGACGCCAATCTCCTTGGTTCTTCTTCCTCAGCCGAGTCGGAAGACGAAAGCCACGTGGCCAACCGAGGCATGAAGGCGGTGGCAACCCTACATCGGCTACACGCTCGGATCCAGAAGAAGCCCTTGAAGGTTTGCGCAATCTTCGAGAAGGAGGCCAGGGAGGAACTAGGGGTTGTTCAGGGTCAGAGCTGGACACTCCGGGACTTCGTGAAGAAGCAGCCGTGAGGCAAGTTCAAAGGGATCCAGCGGTGCGCCTACATGGACGTGGCCGCCTACGAGATGATGAGGGCGGGGAATCACGACGTGGCCGCTCAGTTGGTGCAAAACCTCAAGGCGAAAATGCAGAGTGTGATCCAGGGAGGCGATTGGTCCTCGGCATGGCTGTTAACAGGATTGCCAGATTTCCTTGCGAAGCGCGAATTCGCAGGGACGAAAGAAGAGATGAGCGCTGTGTCCGGCTGCGTGGACGCCTTAGCCAATCTTCGAAACAAGGTCCGGGAAGCCCACGCCAACAACAATGCCGAGGATGAGGAGGAGCCGTCCTCGTCTACCAGGAAGTAGGTCCTAAGCAACTGCGTGCACCGCCCAGGGTTCGCTTGACACACCCGGCCTTGGGAGGGAATTCGCAATTTTCCAAATATTGCACCTGGTTTGAAGGCATCCAAGGTACTTTGCCGGCAAGGACGGTGATGATGTGCCCCTTTTTCCCAGCGTTTTGCCATTCCCTGAGATCGCCTTTGTCGAGGCCGTTGTGGGTGATAGTCAGGCACAACTTTGGTGGGCTCAGGCGTTCGTAAACACGCTTGTCGCTTGGTCTAACTTTGTGGTGCTTGGCTGCCCTGACTTGGGGGACACGGTGATGGAGCCGCGAGTGGTCTAGAGAGGTGATGTGCAGATTTTCTCTGGAAGGTTACTTGGCGAGGTGGTTGAATTCGCTTCTGTTGAGCTAGTCATGGGTTCCCTCGAATGTTCGGGCAAAAGGTCCTTACTGGAAGAGATGATGAAACTCAACTTTGCAAATTACGGGGTGGGTCAGGTACCTGCCCCTTCTGGCGCCTTGGCCGTCAGTGCCTCTCGGGTGGCCGTGCCGGATGAAGCTGGCTTGGTCGATCCACTGGACTGGCTGCCTCTTGAAAAGGCGGCGGTGGTGGAACGCTTGGAGAACCTTCGTCTTCCGGAGCATGCGTGGGATGAGGTGGTCGTAGCCTGCCACCGCGTACCGAAGGAGCATGAAGCCGATCTATGCCGTAAACTGCTGAGCACAGGGATGGCCACTCTGGTGCCCGAACATGAGTTGCCCCGAACTTCGGAAGGTAAGGTGCTTTGTGAAGGTATGTTTTGCGTTCCCAAAAAATGATGAGCGCGATCGGTTGATATATGACAGGCGCCCGGAGAACAGTACAATGCCCCATCTTCGTTGGGAGGCTCTTCCTAGTGGTGCTTGCTTCACCCGTATGCTTCTCAAACCCGATGAGTTTGTTCACGGCTCAGGTGACGACCTGAAGAATTTCTACTACATGCTCAAGCTTCCTGCAGGCTGGGTCTGCTATAACGCTGTGGGCCGCAAGGTTGATGCAGCTGTAGTTAAGAAAATTGGAGGGGATGTCCGTCAGGATCACCGTCTTTGCTTCCGTGTACTCGGCATGGTCGATCGCAACGCATGCTCCATAGCCCAGGCAACACATGAAAGCGTCCTCCAACATCATGGTCTGCTACAGCCTGAACATAAACTAGTATATGGGAAGCTCACTCCTTCTGCTGATCTATGGGAAGGTATCTACCTGGACGATCTGTTGATCACGTTGAAGGTCAGTTTGCCCAATCCTGTCCTCCTGGACGGCGTCTTTGCTCCCCCTGCTCCACAGGACTCTGACCTCGACTGGCCCACATCAAGAAGGCTGAGGAGGCCTATCGAAATGCTAAGTTGCCCAGAGCTGTGCAAAAAGCCTTTTGAGCAGAGACCCAGTTTAAGGCATGGGGTGCGGAGATTGATGGCGTGACGGGGATCGTTGGAGCCCCACTGGAAGTACGTAGGCAACTGTGGATCTTGATTGCTCGGACCGTTGTATCAGGCTGGACTCCAAGACCATCCTCGAGAAGCTTGCTGGTTTCATTGCTTTCGTGTTTCAATTCAGGCGGGAGATGTTCAGTTTATTACACCACTTCTACGTCTTCACTGAAAAGTTGCCAGGTGAGAAGACGATCAAGCTCCCGGGGTATGTGGCCGACGAGCTGAGGTCCGTCGCCTTACACCTTCCAATGGGCACATGCGACGCAGGCTCTCTACGTCCTTGCTGGCGACTGACGCCACACCGAGTTCTGGAGGAGCTGTGCGTGCCGAGGTCCCAGTCCCTCTAATTCATGAGCTGTGGCGCCGATTAGAAATCAAAGGAGCAGCTGTCAGGCTGGATGCCGGCCCAGGGCCAGTCTTGGATGCTCCCGCTTTGGAGACTTCGAGGTTCGCTGCCAGTGATGCGCCTTGTTTGCCGTGGAGAGTAACAGGAAACTTCCCTTTCAGGAGAACCTTCCGCTTCCACATCAACTTGCAGGACGCCAGGGCCCTCAAGCGAGAGATCTTTTCCACGTGCAGTGACTCCCGCAACCTCGGAAGCATTCAGGTCGTACTCAACGATTTGATGGTTGTCGTGGGAGACTTTTCCAAAGGTAGATCCAGCAGTTTCCGCTTGAATGGAATTTTGAGGTCCATGTTGCCCTTTCTCACTTACGGTGATGTTGCCCTGGCCTTGGATTGGATTGAGACTGGGGCAAACCTCGCCGATTGGCCTTCAAGGTTCAAGCCTTTGCCGCCGCGTCCTTGGATGACACGATTTGGCTTGGAGAGGGTGCGGGACCCACTTGGTTGGGAAATCTTTGTCGGATCGTGCTGAATCACCAGGGCCTATGAGGAGATTGGGTGGAGAATGATCCCGCCGTTTGACCTATTGTGGGGTTTGGACGCTCTGGAGTCCTGCAACGAGGCGAGGTCGACTGGTTGTGGACTGCTCCTCCCTGTGGTACCTTCTCGGCTCTTCGCAACTTGGATGCTGCAGGCCCCCTACGTCCTGCCGGTCTTCCAGAGGGAGATGGAGAACGTCGTCAAGGTGGCTGTCGGCAAAGCATTATGGTGTAGAGCATTGGAGTTAGCTCGGATCGTCGTGCAGACTGGAGGACACTTTGTGGTTGAGCACTCACGTGGATCGAAGGCATGGTTGCTTCGCGAAACTGAGTTGTTCCTGAGAGCTGAGGGAGTGAAGAAGCATAGGGTAGATTGGTGTGCGTACCATGATGGCAGCGATCTGCCAAATAGAAGCCCACCATCCTGCTGTCCAACTTCCCATGGCTCGCAGGGATGAGTAGGCGATGCCCAGGCGATCACATTCATGCACCGGCCTTGACGGGGAAGCGTGCTAAGGCTGCGGGTGCTTATCCTATGAAGTTTGCCAGGGAACTAGCTGGCGCCCGTGCCGCGTACCAGGTGAGAACTCCTCGCCCAGTTATGTCGACCGCTTGTTGGAGAAGGCTGTGAGCTATGCCTACGAGTCAGGGGAGAAGAGGTGTTGGGTGGTTTTGGGCGTGCTGGGTATCCAACGTGGCGTGCGGATGGCAGGTCCTTTGCTGAAGAGCACGTGGACTTTATTGAGGGGATGGAGACGCTTGGAGCCCATCAAAACTCGGGTGCCCATTCCATATCATGTCCTTTGTGGAGTCCTCATTTTCTGTCTTGCTAGAGGCTTTCACTTTCGGGGAGCCCTTCTAGCTGAGTGGTGGTCAACGATGCTCGAAGCTTGGCTTGCTTTCAGTGCTTTACTACGCCCGGGAGAAGTGGGCTCGCTGCGGGTAGGAGACCTCCTGTTCCCTGTGATGATGAGGTTGCGCAAGGATCGGCTTTGGTTATCAGCATCAAGAATCCCAAAACGAAGAGATATGGAATCATCAATTTGCATTGGCGCAGGAAAAAGACCTTGTTCGGTGGCTCGCCTGGTGGTGCTTTGGCCAAGGCCGGAGCCGCAGACTACTAAGAGTGTCGCTAGGCGTTGGTCGGTCCTGTTTAGACAGGCGCTTGAGGAAATGCACCGTTGGTCTCGACCTGAGACGTTGCAACGCTACTCCAGGAGGCATTGGCCATCCAGGTTTTTGCGCAGGCCCTCGATGAAGCTCGGAGGTTGTTGAAGGCGTTGCGTGAGCACAGCGGACGGCTTGAGCACCCGTATGGGCTCCAAGAGCTCTTGTGTAGTCGTTGAGGAGTGTGATGTGATGGAGGACCGTCTGTCACGTGCCCTCCGCGACCTTGCAGACTCCCTTGACGAAGTGCAAGCAGCGGCTGCGAAGGTGACTTGTTATCAGTCGCCTCGTGGTTCAGAGACGGCCAGCCTCTCTTCGTGGTCGAGGGTGTCACGACCGGCTTCGAGTACAGGGAACCCTGGTAGGCCTCAAGCCCGGTTGTGGAGCCACGAAGCTCTAGCGTCGCTTATCGTCGTGATCACCTTTGTTATCTCATCGTGAGCAATCCCAAGAACCCGGAGTTGTTTGGCTTTACGGAGGGGCCTTCGCCGGAGACATGGAGGCAGCCGCCTGCCCGACGGCCAACTCTCAGGCTCTCGCGTCAAGCTCCGTCGCGTCGGACAAGGGCGGAGGGACTGTCGGTGTGGGCCGCAGTTCCGATCCGCCTCTAGTGGACACCGCCACGCCGGCCAACCGGCTGATGGCCGCGGTGTCGCAAGCGGCAAAGGAGTTGGGGAACAAGCCAGTGGCTAACAACCTGTCGCCGGCCGCGCGGACCCTGCAGCCCGTGAGACTGCTGCTAGAAAGTTTATCAGTGTGCTGGCCCGTATGGCTCGGCGCTCCAAGCCCATGGTGGCGCTACAGCAGAGCCTCAAGGCCGGAGCCGCAATGCAACTGAACGCTGTGGACGCATCGGCGCCGTCAACCTTGGCCTCCTCACTGCCGACTTGGGATGCTCGTTGGCAAGATCTACGCCGCTACGTGCCTGCTTTGAGTTTAGGACTGTGCTTGCGCTTTTGGCTGTGCTGTTGTTTCCCAAGCTGTGTGCCCTTGCTGTGGCAGTGGTCGTACGCCTGGTGGTGAGGGCAGTGATGAGTTTGGTTCGCCATCTCTTCCATATTCTTCCATGAACTGTGGGTCCAGTTACAGAGCACAGCTTCAGAGGTGGAAGATGCTCTGTTGACTGGCTCCAAGACCAGCTTGGCTTCTCAACTACTTCAGCCTCAACAGCAGCGCCTACACTCCTGCTTCATGATGCCGGACCAGCACCACCACCTCCTTTGCAACAACAAGGCGGTCACTCCCTCCCGGCCCGCCCTATGGATCTCATCACGTGCGTCCTCCTGGTGCTCAACCTGTGCAATGGGCGGGGCGGGAATCATGGAGGTAATGTTTGAGTCTTGAGGAGCTCGGCCTTTCCTTTGTCAGCACCGCTCGTGGCTGCAGTGACGTTCGAGCTTCGTGTTTCTTAATGCACCAGTTGATGCCTCATCCGCTTGGGGAAAAGAAAGTCCTCTCGAAGTTTGCCAGGGAAAGCTTCAAGTTCAGGAATATGACTTAGCATTCCTGACAGGCTGTCCAGTTGCGAGACCTTCATCCTGTGCAAGTTCGGGCATCTGTGTCTCTGGCAAAATTTACTTCTCAAGTTGTCCCGCCACCACACCGCCTACTCATCATGGAGGCAGTGTTTGAGTTTGAGTCTTGAGGAGCTCGGCCTTTCCTTTGTCAGCACCGCTCGTGGCTGCAGTGACGTTCGAGCTTTGTGTTTCTTAATGCACCAGTTGATGCCTCATCCGCTTGTGGAAAAGAAAGTCCTCTCGAAGTTTGCCAGGGAAAGCTTCAAGTTCAGGAATGGTTTCTTTTGGTTTCATGGTCTTCTTGTCCTTATTTCTCCCCAAAATCGGGGCCCAATTGTGCTGATCATGTCCGCAGCGGCAGGGGCCGGCCCTGCCGCCTTCGTGGCCAAGAGCCAAAAGCAGCGATAGCAAGAGTGACAGGGGCAGCAAATAACAGGACAAGAAGTACCTTATAGTACCTTGTAATCGAAGTAGGCGTGGTTGGAATGGTAGTGGTGAATGGCCGTATAACGGGGCAAACTGCTGTTTTATGCTTAATTGCTTCGGGGCACGGGCTTTGGGCCCGGATTTTGTGGACGCAAGCGAGGAATTTCCTCGTTTGGGTCCCACATTCGTCAACCCCATCATGCCCGGCCCACGTGCCCCGTACGCGAGCATCATCAGCACAAGTGGGTCCCATTTTGGTTTGATTGGTGCCAGGAAGGGTTAACAACAAGAAGCCAACAAGAAGGTTTTTGAACATAGGTTTCCTTGCAGGCTACCATGTTATAGCCGGCATGTATCAATTTTGCAATTCTGAAACAACAGTTGGACGTATTTGAGACTGAGGTTAGTTCAAGCAGCGTACAATCTTAGTGTAGGAGCCCTAAAGCTGTTGGAAATATGGGCAACACACCGCAAAAACCATGCAATGTGCACAGTTTGGCCTGCGTAATGCCACTGTGTGCTGGTTTTTGCTGCGTGCATTTCAAGGTCGCAACAGCCCCCCAAGAGCAAGCATCGTGAGTCCCCAATTTTTTTCTTGATACCACACATGGGAAGTTCCAACGCCCCTCCAAGACCTGGGTATGTTGCAGTGTCCAAGAGTGAGAAACGAAGGCCCAATTGTGCTGATGATGCTGGCCGGAAAGAAATTGCCCCAAACCTTCCGTAGCCTCGGGGAATCCACGAAAACGCGTCTCAGAATCACTTTATTTTTTTTGACCCCCAAAAGCACGGCTCCAGGGCTTGCCACCCCCTTGGCTAGGCCAGATGCATCCGCGCCGGACCACAAGGCCAGACTGCACTTTAAAAGCCTCCGGCCCAAGCCGCCGAACCCAGAGGCAGTGACGTTAACACGAGACAGGGACGAAAGGCAAAGTATGGGAAAGTTGTAGCAGAAGTCATCTAAGGCAGTCGGGAAGCAGTTTCAGGCCAGCCCAGCTGATATTGCAGCAGCAGCACCGCAATCAAATTAACGATGTTGCGATAAGTTCGAAATATTTTCGCGCCGCCTATTTTTCAGAGGCTGGGCATGAGACCAATTGGCGCAAACGAGAGAAGTTCAAGCAAGGTTGCCGGACTCCGCAAGACCTATCAAAAACCACACAGAAACACGGTTTTGGAGAAGTCTTCTGAAAGGCCCCCGGATGTAGGCCCCCCAGAGAAGTGCAGCTGGGATACCCCCCTTACCATCCACCACCCTCGCGTTGTGGGGGTATTTTAGGGTTGTCACGGAGAAAAGGAAAAAAGAGGGTTTTCATTTCCGTTTTATGAAACCATCCATCAAACCCCTAAAGGTCCGTGGATTCCAGTATACTATTGGGGGGCAGCTTTTAGTTCAGGGGATCCAAGAATATCAATCAATAACGGGTAGATGCGAAGTGCCGATGCAAACAGGGCCGGCAGAGGGCGAGAACCGCCCCGAAATTAAATAAGAAATTAAACAGCTTTTAGAACTTCAAGGACGACTTCAGGGAGCAACGCGAACAGATAGTCCGGATGCCGGATTTGGATAGAAAAAAACTATGAAGGGCTAGGGAGTCAAAGACAAAACTGAGGTGCAGACGACTTACCAAAGCTTACAGACAGGAGAGAGCGCGCCATCTCCTCCAGCTCCAGTTCATCCGGCTCAGGCTCGAGTTCAGCGTGTACAAGTCCAAAACAATGAGAGGGTCAATCACAGGCGTTGCCAAAGCAGGTGGCCATCAAGCTACATTTGACCGGGACAACGAACACCATGCTGTATGCCACTTGAATCTAGACCAGTCCGGGAGCCGAAAACCATGCCGAGGTGGCTCCCGAGCTTCCCCTCCCTGGCACAAGACCATGCTGAATTCCCTGGCCCAGCCATCCCGCACGAAAACCATGCAGGTGGCACCCGAGCTACCCCCCTCCACCAGACCAGTCCGGGAACCAACTTTGCGGCATTTTGGCAATGAGCAATTTTTATTCGCATTACCGTATATTACCCCTTCTAATCTCCTTTGATGCTTCCCGAAATGACCCATGCATACTATCACATTTCCGCTTAAGATGTTGCAGTTCTACACGGGCGTCTGGTTGTTGGACATTTCTAGAGTCTGGTTCCCATACATAGGTCGTGGCTCCAGTGTTTATTTCAACCGTGTCTAAACCCTACCTCACAGTACAGTGGTCGAAGGGTTGACACAAAGCGATACTTGAAACAGCCCGATGCAGTGATTTCTCATCGAAAACACAGAAGCGGGGGGAAAACGAAAGCCCCAGCACCGCCAACGCAGTCCGCAAGAGCAATGGCCGAACAAACAATGAGGCACAGCAAGCATTCAAGGACTTTCAAGTAAATGACAGGGAAATTCCAAATACGCAGTGAAGCCAACGGTCCGGTCGGCTGTAGACACAGGTACTGTATGAGGTCATGTTGAAAACCAAGCTGGCGTAGAGATGGACCGGATCCTTGCAGTTTTGGAACCTACCCAATAAACCGCAACCCACTGACATGGAGACAATGCAGACGTCTTGACACGAGTGAAATCGAGGCTGAAGCGAGATGAGACCCTGTGATCACAACGGAGGTGCACCAGTGGAAATTGTATACAAAAGCACAAAGTTCTGAGCAAGAACGTGGAGGCCCTGAAAGCAGTGAAGAGCAACGACTTGCAACTGCGACTAATAAAATCGGGTCCAAGGCAGGCCAGAGCCAACCAGACAACAAGGAACAGCATGGGATCGAAGGAGCAAACTGCAAAGAATATTGGTGATCCTGGAAGAATGGGACTATAAGCAGGCGTCTCAAGCGCAGTGTCGCCATTCAGCAGAATGGACCAGAACGGAAGGCAAACGGAAAGAAGAGGACAAACCTGAAACACTGGGGAGACTTCCCGCATGCGCAAGAGCACTCGACGCAAAGTGCAAGTGAGGAGCGCATGACGCAGCTGACCAATGGCGCCCCACCTCCTAATAACAGGTCATATGGGGGGCTCAGACCTTGGCTGGTTAAATGAGAAGCAGGCGTCGAGAGCAGGCAACTCAGTCAAAAGCAACTCACAAACCTCGCAATATGTCAGGTAACAGTTGCCTCCAGGTTCACATCTCTCAAGAATGGTACGGTGCAAAGCCCCTAGCATCCTTCCCAGAGGCCCTGTGGGCACTGGCGAGGGACAAACCCTGAAAATATCAGAACATAATAGTCTTGAGCTCGTTGAGGCAGCATCAAGTTGAATGTTGCGGCACTTCGTGGACGAAGTGGCGCATGAGCTTAGAGATTCACTCTGTCAGATGTTTCCATCTGAGCTGCAAGGCACACCAGGAAAAACTTGTGTTGGCATTGTTGGCATGGTCCTTAGACATGAACTCTCACCACTCCAGCACTGGCTTGCTGACAGCGATCTGGATGCAAACGCCGCAATCGCCCGACCAAGTGCCAACTGGTCTACACACGAGCCGGCAGCGGCAATGAAGCTTGACATTCCAGGAACTGCAACAAGACGTGGCAACAGACTCCCAACACCGTACCAGTGCATGACCACAATCAAAACTTGCAATGGCAGTTCCTCCAACATGTGTACATGCCCATGCTGTGGCAGCAGCGGACGTCAGGCGCTCAACGGTAAGCAGCAACGCCCAAAAACGCACCCATGGCTGGAGCAGCAAAAGGGACTAGGCGATTTGTCCAAATATTTCTTCAGCATGTTGTCGCAAACAGCACGTCGAACAGGAAGTGGGCAGCATTCTCAATCCAAAATCTTGGGGCATTTGACTTGGGCCTGTGACAACTTCAGATAGCCTTCTCACTTTGGCGCCTCAAGAATACCATTTCATTTGACACCGGTCCCAAGAGATTCGTACACAAGCTTCCTGACGCTTGATCGCGCTGCTTGACTATATAGCATGTCATCTGCTAGGACAAAATCCGCTCATCTTTGTGTCCTTGAGCGTATGCATAATGAGAATGGGTCTACTGTTGGGCTTGAGAAACAAGCTGACAATTTGGGACTGTCAAAGTGGATGTGATCGCCTGTTCGCCAAGTACATGAACCTCGAAATCCTCTCAGAACCGATGTTCTTGAACGCCCAGGTACCCTCGGCTTACCAGCCAGAGGCCCATCTCACTGCATGGATGATGCACTTGTTGCAGGAGGTGCAAGATTGCCTTTGATCGTTCTGCTTCCATAGTGATAGCTGTCAGAAATTGTCAGAATTAGGTGCGCAGAGGGTTCTCTCTGCTCGTCGCGCAAGCGAGGCCTGTGCGGCTGTAAGATGGAATTGATGGAAGCAGACGCCTTTCCAGCCTATGCCTAGCTGCTGTGGGTGACACAAAGCCATTCCATGTGGTGCCTTTGAGAGCGCGAAGCCAGCTGTGACTCAAACATGAGCAAGAAGATCACGCATGGCTTCTTCATTCAGACACGCCACCCGTAACTGCAAATGTTCTTTAGCAGCTTTAGCAATTGACCGCACCAGTCAGCTTGGCAGCCGAAAAAGAAGTGAAACACAATTTGCGGCCTCAATTCTCAATTGAATTTGTCGCTTGGACTGGACGGACCGCGCAGGCTCTGTTCTTAGGCCAGATATACTTGAGTCTGCATCAGCATTCGTCAGTTGTATTCTTGAATCTGCTCTCCCCAGGTCCGCAAGTTCAGGATGGCAAAGGCCTGCTAGGGAAGCTTCACAACTGTGTGTATTGGTGTAGTCACACAAACAACAAGAGGCCCAGCTCTGCCGAGTCGGTGTCGCTTTCTTTGCGGGTTATACAAGCCCTTTCGCTTGGCAGTTCTTTCAATCTCAGGAGGAGCAGGACGCCTCAAAGAAGTCCGGCTACACGTCAGGAGCTTGTGATTCTTTGCACGTGCTTTACACATATTTTTTTTGCCGATGTGCGGAAGTGTGCTCAGGTATTGGAAGCGTGACATTGACGATGCCCATGTTCTTCCTGATAACAGGCCGCAGAAGATCGAGGGAGACGTGAGTGCCCAGGCCCTGTGAGGTTCATATCTTGAGTTGCATACATCAAGGGTGCTGCGTTCATGTGGGATTGTGTCTCGGTCGTTTGGGTGGCTAGCTGCGATTGATTTTGTTTTCTCAGCCTGTTCTCTCGTAACAATGGGGCCAGCATCAACAGCCTTTACGCTTGGCACCCACCGCCATCAAACAGCAGTTATTGTTGAGACCATCTGATAAGCATGAAAGGATGATGGGCCCAGGAATTATTTTAATGGTTTTTTTATAGTTTCAATACACTTTGCATTTACACTTTTACTACACCATGCATGTCCCAGTGTCTCGGCGCAGTACACTTTCATTACACTTTTGATACACTTTTAATACACTTTTAATACACATTCATTTATGGATTTTTTATGGTTTTGTTATGGATTTTTTATGGGTTTCCTCGATTTTCGGCTCTGGAATCTGAAAATCATA